GGCTACAGAAAAAAAGTTGACTTTGGTGAGTAGGAAGATGGATTTGAAATAGATAATAGGTTGAGAACATAGTGAATTAAAGAACATTATGTAAAAATGTTAACAGATCAAAAATTTAAGTGTGAAATTTGAGATGGTCGGGGCAGAGATAATAGATGTGATTTATAGTTAATAAATCATCATAATTAATAAAGTCAGTAGTTAGATACACTGGAGTGGATGAGATTGCCTAAGGAGAGAGTGTATAAGGTAGCATGATCAAGGATAGAAATCTGAAAAACACTACCTCTTAATAGGTGAATACAACTGAAAGAAAATATGAGATAGGAGACCCAATAGTATATAGTTTCAGAGCCAAAAGAGTATTTAAGGAGGGGATTGTCAGTAGTGCCAAATGAAACGCCACAGAGAGGTGTGGGAAAATCAGGACTGAAAGGAAGGCATTGAATTTGAGATTTTAGAGAAAGACGGTCTGAGTAGAGTAAGGGAGAACAAAACCAATTTTTAGCAAGAATATGTACATGGTACTACATTAGGGAAGGGGGCTTTGAAATATTGTTTGTTAAATTTTGCAGTGAAGGAAAAGACAAATGGGGCGGGTAGATTAAGAGGGAAGTAAGGTAAAAGGAAGTTTTTTAGGATAGGAAAAAACATGCATTTTAAAGAGTTATTGCCTCATAACCAACTCTGATTATCATCAAACTTTTTAAATATTGCCAGTCTAATAAGTGAAAATCATTACTGTATTTATTTATTTTTTTTTCTGTACATTCAGTTATAATGAGATTGGGCCTCTTCTAAATTTTACATTGGGTTTTTCATCTTACTGGTTTGTCAGAAATTTTTAATTATGCAGTTACCTGTCATAAATATTTAAAACATGTTTACGTTAATTGACTTAATTGAATTTTCATAATAACTCTATTATGACTTAGTTTTAGTTTCAGACACAAATAATAGAATTCCAAACAATAGGGGGACCCAGGTGGATCAGTTCGTTAATCACTTGCCTTCCTCTTAGGTTATGATCAGGGGACCCTGGGATCAAGCCACACATGGCATCGGGGCTCCCTGCTTTGCAGGGAGTCTGCTTCTCCCTCTGCCTGCCACCTCCCCTGCTTATTCTCTCTTTTCTCTGTCAAATAAATAAATAAAATCTAAAAAAAAAAAAAATCCAAACAGTGGTTTAAACAGAATAGAGATGTATTTTCTTTTTAAGTCTGAAGATACCTTCTGGTCTTTTCAGCCATACTTAGTTTCTCCACCTCAGTGGTTGTTGAAGCTTTAGTCATCTTCAAGTTCCCAGCAGGGATATGGGATATAGGGGTTTGACACTTTGGATCTTTCCCCTTTTAGAAGTTTTTCTGGAAGCCCTACTCAGTCCATTCTATTTATATCTTAATTGCCAGGTATGCATTCAGCTGCCTCTGTTTGTTAGGGGGACTGAGAAATTTAGTTGCAGCATCAAACAGAATTGTGGTTCTGTTAGTAAGAAAGTTTTTGCAAATGAATTTCTTTGTTTTTAAAGCTAAATGATGTTCCATTGTGTGTGTGTGTGTGTGTGTGTGTATCACAGTTTCTTTAGCCTTTCTTCCATTGAGGGACACTGAGGTTGTTTTCATATCTTGGCTATTGTGAATAATGCTGCAATGAACATGGGAGCACAGATAACTCTGTGAGATACTGATTTCATTTCCTTCGAGTGTATACCCAAGAAAGGAGTGGCTGGATCATGTGGTAGTTCTATTTTTTTGGTTTTTTGAGGAAACTTCATGCTATTTTCCATAATGGCTATACTGATTTATGCTACCACAAACAGTATATGAAAGTTCCCTTTTCCCCACATCCTCACCAACACTTGTTATTTTTAATTTTTTTAATAATTGCCATCCTAACAGATATGAAGTGGTAATACCTCATTGTGGCTTTGATTTGCATTTCGCTGATGATTAGTGATATTGAATGCCTTCTCATACACTTCTTGGCCATTTCTTTATCTTTAGAAAAATGTCTCTTCGTTTTCTTTTTTAATCGGTGTCTTTTTTTTGGCTTTTGAGTTGTATGTGTTCCTTACATATTTGGATTATTAACCCCTTATCAGATATATTGCTTGCAAATACTCTTATTCTGTTAGGTTTTCTTTTTATTTTGTTGTTTTCTTTACTCTGCAGAAGCTTTTTAGCTTGATGGAGAAGGTACGTTAATTAGCTTGACTGTGGTTGTCCTTTATGTATGTAAATATATTAAATCATGTTGTACAGATTAAAAATATACAATTTTAGTTTTAAAATAACAAAAATAAAGTAGAAGAATTTAGAAATAGGGTAGGCAGCTAGCAGTTTCCATGAATAAAATATAAATTCTTACATTATGACTTCTAGGTTTGCGTCATAACTTCCAAGAGCACGGTTATAAAGAGTGATTGAGCAGTGAGTTAGCATTGAGCTTTTGCTTTTTTTGGTTTCCAAATGGATAGTTCATGAATGAATTTTTTTCTCCGGATTTTTCCCCAATTTGAATGTTACTGGTACTTATTACCTGTTAAATTCTCAAGTAGATTTGTTGCTGCTTCTGTTCTCTCTAATCTCTCCATTTATTTATTTTTTACTATCTATTCTTTAGTGCCAAACTCTTATAAACACTAAAATTCTGTCACTTTTATAGGATAGGATTAACACCCCTCTTTTCATTGCTTTTTGTGTTTTCTTGCCTATTGTTACATAATTATTTTACAAGTGAACTCTAGTACCTAATATTTGGTTGTGTTAGCATCTCCTCACATCCTCTCAAAAAATATTTTTGAGAATTTATTGCAAATGTATTGGTTAATTAGAATTGATAGCTCTACAGTACTGTATAGAGAAAACTATAGTTTAATATTCTCTTAAATGTTCTGTATATTTATCTTTAGCTATGTAAAATTTTTCTATTATTGGAATCTTTTATTCTACTTTAGTTTTAAATTGTTACTGTAAAATACACCTAACATAAAATTAACGATTTTACCCAGTTTTAGCTATATGGTTCAGTGGCACTGGGTAGATATACATTATTAAGCAGCCTTCGCTACCATCTCCAGAATGGTTTTCAACTTTACATACTGAAACCTCATACTTATTAGATAATAGTTTCCAAGTCTTCCTTTTTCCTAGCCGTTAATAACCATTCTGTTTCTGTCTCTATGAATTAGACTATTCCAGATATCTTGTATAAGTAGAATAATACAGCATTTGTCCTTTTGTAGCTAGTTTACAGAATTTCCTTCTTTTTTAAGGCTGAGTACTCATTGTGTGTATATTCCAAATTTTGTTTATCCGTTCATCTGTCAGTGGACATTTGGGTTGCTTCCGCTTTTTGACTGTTGCAATAATGCTATTATGAATGTGGGTATACAGACACCTTTCTGAGTACCTGCCCAGTTCTCTGTGAATATACACAGATGTAGAATTGCAGGATTATATAGTAATTCTGTGTTCAGTTTTTGGAGGAACTACCATACTGTTTTCCATAGCAGCTGCACTATTTTACATTTCCACCAACAATGAGAAGAGTTCTAATTTCTCCGTCTCCTCCAACACTTATTTTCAGTTTATTTGGTGTTTTTAAAAATAATTGCCATCCTAATGGGTATGAAGTGGTGATTGTGGTTTTGGTTTTCATGTCCCTGATTAGTGATGTTAGGCATCTTTGCTTACATTTTGTTAGCCATTTGTATATGTTCTTTGGAAAAATATTTGCTCACATCCTTTGCCCTATCTCTTACTGGGTTGTTTCTTTTTTGTTGTTGGAATTGTAGAAGTTCTTTATTATGGATATTAACCCCTTATCAGATAAACAATTTGCATATATTTTATTTGATTCTGTGGGTTTCCTTTTCACTCTTGATAGTGTTCTTTGCATAAAAGTTTTTACATTTGAGGTAGCTTCATTGGTCTGCTTTTGCTTTTGTTGCATGTGCTTTTGATGTTAACCAAGAAATCATGTTAACCAAGAAATCATTACCAAATCCAGTGTCATGAAGCTTTCCCCCTTAAGTTTTCTTTTCTTTTGTTTTTTTTCAAAGATTTTATTTATTTGAGAGGGAGAGAGAACATGAGCTGGTGGGGGGGGGCAGGAGGCGGGGACAGAGGGAGAGGAAAAAGCAGACTCCCCACTGAGCAGGGAGCCTGATCTGGACTGGGTCCCAGGACCCTGAGATCATGACCTGATCCGAAGGCAGACTTAACCAACTGAACCACCCAGGTGCCCCCTCTTCTACTATTTTTATAGTTCTAGCATTTACGTTTAGGTCTTTGATCCACTTTGAGTTAATTTTTGTATATGGTGTAAGATAAATTTTGTTCTTTTGCACATCAGTATCCAGCTTTCCCAGCACTGTTTGTTGAAAATTCTTTTTTCTCCTTAGAATGGCATTGGTACTCTGGTCAAAAATCTTTGGACCTTATCAGTAAGGGTGTATTTGGTGGTTCTTTTTCTGTTCCACTGATCTGTCTCTCTGTGTTTATGCCAGTAACATGCTGTTTTGATACTGTATTATAGTAAGTTTCAAATTATTTTTTTGTATGGAAGAAGACAAGTGACCTTAAATATTATTAATCTGATAGTTTACTGAATTTTTAAAATAGTTTTTCAGTTGATTGTGCAAAGATAGGTCTGTTAATGATAAAATACGACTTCCTCTTATAATTTTGTCTGTTTTTGTCTAATTGCATTGGCTTAAAACAGTGTTAAATAGTTATGTTGCATACTTACAGTATTTCTTTTCTTCTGATTTAATGGAAATTCTAATATTTCACCTTAGTGTATGATGCAGCTTTGGTTTTAGACATACTCCTAAACTTTTGAGGTTGACATCAAAAAGCTTCATTATAGTTTGGCAGTTAATTACAGGTTGTTTCTTGTTGCTGTTAATAGTATCATGAAAGGACTGCCCAGTTTTGGGGTTCATATTGGATCACCTAGGAGGACTTCAGCAAATTACCTTTTTCTTTCTTTTTCAGAATGGCCAGAGTTTTCTGGTTTTGGATGAACAAAGATTTGCAAAAGAAATTCTTCCCAAATATTTCAAGCACAATAATATGGCAAGCTTTGTGAGGCAACTGAATATGTGTGAGTATGGGCAGTAGTTTATTTGGAGTACGTCATCAGCCACTGATTAAACCATTTTTTTCCCATTCGGTTGATAAAGGAAAGGGAAATTTTTTACTTCTAGTGTAGTCATCTAAATTTTTAATCTTTTTCAGATGGTTTCCGTAAGGTTGTGCATATTGACTCTGGAATTGTAAAGCAGGAACGAGATGGTCCTGTTGAATTTCAGCATCCTTACTTCAAACAAGGCCAGGATGACTTGTTGGAGAACATTAAAAGGAAGGTGAGCTATTTTTGATGTGATTTATTTGAGGCATTACCATATAGCATACTTGGCCTGCACAGTGTTTCACCTGTTGAAATTAAGACTGTACAGAAATACACAGGTATTCCTTGTTGGGATGACTCAGACTAATAAAGCTTTAATTATTTCCTTCTGTTTTATATTTTTTCTCTGCGGTTAGCTGTTCTGAAAGCTCTGTCTTCAATTATATTCTAGAGGGAAGGAAAATGTTTACATTCTGACTGAGGGTGAGGAATCATCCATATTGGGATGGCTCACTCCTTCTAATTTGGCTTAAAAAATATAAGCTGTTAGAATGTCGACTCCCTGGAGGGCTTTTTCTGTAGTTCACTGCTGAATATCCAATGCTGAGAACAAGTCCCTTGCATGTAGTAAGCACTTAATAGTACATTTTTAAATGAATAGTGTCTTTTGCTGAAATAAAATATTTTTACTTAATCCACAAAAGAGGGGAATAAAAGAGTAATGGACCATGAAAGAAAATGGCCTAGTGTGTGGCTGTTACTGCATAAATTTATTAAACGTGGAATGTGATAATAAAGAGGCTTGGGGAAATTACAGTGAGTTTGGTGAAAGGGAATGAAAAAAAGTGCCTAAATTTTTCCTGCTCGTGGAAACTTCTCCACATTAAAAAAAAAAAAAAAAGTAATTATTTCTCACCCTCTGTCTTTGAGCTATGAAGTTTATTCCTTTTATAGAATCCTGTTTTGGGCTTTTTGGAACTAAATCTAAGTTCTTAAATGGGCTACAAAACACACTTACAATAGGGAAACTTTGAATTACAAACATGATGTTTAATATTTTATTTCCCTAAATTTGCTTTCAAAAGGTTTCTTCTTCAAAACCAGAAGAAAATAAGATTCGTCAGGAAGATTTAACAAAAATTATAAGTAGTGCTCAGAAGGTTCAAATAAAACAAGAAACTATTGAGTCCAGGCTTTCTGAATTAAAAAGGTAAAATATTATTTCCAAATATAATCTTAATATAGAGGTTGGTATGTGTGTGTTGGGGATTGGAAGTTAGTGCTTTAAGTACTTAGTTCACATTGTTGAAGCCAGGATAAAAGGTGATTTTTCTATAAGTATTGTTTCCCTTTAGTTTTGATTTGTAGCCCTTGATACCTCATTATTGTATTTTCTTGACGGTGGTCAAAAGAATTTATAAATCTGGGCAATTAAAACAATTTGATGAACGAGCCTCACTGATGAAACAGACCTTTAAATCAATGTAGGAGAGAAATACAATTCTACTTAGGTTAGCTTTCATATGATGTTCACACACATGAGGGCACAGAAGCTGTAAAAAACACTGCATATATGACTTACATCTTCTTTATGGTGGTTTCATAAAACTTTTCTATGTTGGCCTATCTCTTAGGAAAAAATAGGACACAAAAAATAGGGGAAAAGGATGCAAGAAACTTGCCCTACTTGGTATTTATCTTACCTAGACATGGTTAGGTATTCAAAATTTTATCTAAGAAATATGCTTTTGTTTTATTGCAATTCTTGGCACCATTACTTGCCACAGTAACAACTTGTATATAGAGTAGATGTGTACTTCATCTTAGTAAGTAGTTGGCATTTTCTCTTATCCTAATAGGGGCCAAGGTCTTGAGAATATTTTGTATTCTGTCTCCCATTTCAGATGTGGGAGAGCTGTCTTAAAAGCTTAGCTGTCTTTAGTTTAGCTGTCTTAAGTGTATTCATTAAAAGAGTAACCCTGAACTTCATTCCCTTTTTGAATAAGGCTTAATTTTAAGCTCTTCAATTTTGAATATTTTATTCAATCTCTTATGCCAGTTTATTGTATGTATTTTGTGTCTCCTGAGATGCCCTTTGACCCAATTCCTTGAATCTCAGGTTTGGCCCTTAAGGAATGTGATCCCAGATTCATCCTCTAAGTTTTAGAGGTAACCATTCAACTTATGTTTAGTAGGCAGATGATAGTATCTTTAAATATCTGAGTCAGAGGAAATACCCTAGTTATTCAGTAAGTGTATTAAAGTTTTATTTTTCATATCTTCTATATGTAAGATACAGTAGTTCCTTTTATAAGAGTTTAGCTTGAGGAAGATGGATATTATGGAAATTGATAAGAGCAAAAATTAAAGTATTTAATAGGTGGATTATCTTTCATGCCTTCTCAGTGTTATTGTTGCTAACATTGAGTAACTGCAATTTCAATAAAAGTTAGTGAAGGAAAAGAAACTGTTACTACCAGGCAAGTTACTGGTTTGTCTTATATTTAGACATGCTTTGAAAAATTTTTTTTTGGTGTTTTATATGTTTGAAACAGATCTTAAGATAGACAGTTTTAGGGCCTGATTGACTTTTAGATTGACCTCAACACTTAACTACGAATAATTTCTGTGATCTTAGGCAAGTCCTCGTAATTCTTGGGTCTCATTGTCCTCCTCTATAAAATGAAGTCAATAATTCCTTTCTTGGCTGACTTTATAGAAGTTTAAACAAGAAGTACATATAAAATGCTTAGCATAATCCCTAGAGCATAAGTAGTGCTGGGTAAATGTTACTTCCTTTAAGATTGTTTTCTAAGCACAAGTTCTCAATTCAGTTGGTAGCCATAATTGAAAGGTTAGTTTATTTTAAACAAGAAGTAATGAACCACATTGTAAGGGAAGTAAATTCCCTGCTACTATGTGGATATAGGCCTGAGTCTTAAATTTTTGTTTGTATTGCCATGAGTAGAAAGTACTATAGTTATGAAGGGATGATTCTGGAGTTGTAGCAAGATAGTTGCCATTTTATGTAATTAAACCAAAGTTTTTCCAGTTTCATGAAGATATATAGCAAAGTTCACTGTTTTGTTTGTTTGTTTTGTTTTTAAATTAAAGATACTGAGATCTGGCTTTCTGACTAAATTTTGTTTTATTTTTTAATAAATGATAACATAGTGAGAATGAGTCCCTTTGGAAGGAGGTGTCAGAATTACGAGCAAAACACGCACAACAGCAACAAGTTATTCGAAAGGTAAGCTATTCTCCTCCATGGCCATAACCTGCCTTTGTTTAATTATAGTACTATTTGTGACCCAAAAATAGTCTCTATTGAATAGTTAGTGATTGGTCTTAGTTCTTTTTTTCTTTTTTTTAAGGATTTTATTTATTTATTTGACAGAGATCACAAGTAGGCAGAGAGGCAGAAGGGGAGGAGGAAGCAGGCTTCCCGCTGAGCAGAGAGCCCGATGCGGGACTCGATCCCAGGACCTTGAGATCATGACCTGAGCCAAAGGCAGAGGCCTAACCACTGAGCCTCCCAGGCACCCTTGGTCTTAGTTCTTATATATTGGGTTCACATACAGTAGTGAAACTATGAAATCAAACAAATTAGGTCAACTGTTATGTTTTCTTTTTAATAAGAAACATTTCTCATTAGCTAATTATGGTTATTCCATACTCTCAGATTAAATCTCACTAGTTTTTAGTAAGTGACCTTTGGCCTGATAGAACAACTTAAAAGATACTTCATTTTTAGGAACATAATATACTACCGGTTTCTTTACATTTTTTAGTATGAATGGCAGCCTTACTGTGTGGGTTTGTTCTTATTGTTTTTACTGTTATTTTACTTGAAAGGGGATAGATATGGTCTTTGAACAGATGAATAAAATTTTCAAATCAGTTGACCAAATTATGAGTTCTAAAAAATTAGTCATCATTGTATGCCATTATTAGTCTCTGTGGAAAAGCAGTTAAAGTAATCTGTTGTAAAATAAATTCTGGATTTTAGTATCTGAGCTGAAAATAACTGGGGGAACTGACAATCTCTCAGTTGCATTGTGTCCTTGTGATTTAGTCTTTTCATATCAGCTTTCATATGTTAATAAGACTTGAAACATAAAAGTAATTAAGGCAGCTATTTTTTGCTCATGAGTAAACTAGACTCTTAAATTTAAGCAACAGGTTTTTGTGGGGGGAGGAAGGGTGGGAGTACTTCAGCTGGTTTGTGCTGAGATGCCTTTAGCTAAAAATAGGGTTATGACTGACAGGAAAGATCTGGGTCTAGTGGAGCAAGCTTAGAACAGAGATGAACGGTTGGTTGCAGCCTTTGGCCTGTAGTTAGAATACTGGGGGTTTTTTCATTTGTTGTTTTTTTCCAAATCAGTATGCAGGTAAAGGTTAAATATAGAATTCACTTCTAAGTGTTTAGTCCAAGTGCATATATTTTCAGAACTTCCAGAGCTGATTCCAGCCTGCAGCCCTGTTAAGAATACCTCATTTAAAACAATAGGTGTACAGTATTAAACCTGTACTTTATTTTTAAAAAATCTTTTAATCTTTTCCAGAAAACAATGTTTTATAGTTAAATACTGGCTTATAATGCTGTATTTTTTTTTTCCTAAGAGCAGAGAAAGTTGGCAAAATACATAACATTTCAGTTTTTCATGAAATCTAACATTCTATCTGTCAAATTTGAACTTGAATATATGTGGTTTTGTGGAGCTAGGGAGTTCTCATAATGCATAGTGATAGCTGATAATCTTCTCTCTGTTCCTGGAATTGCTTAATACATCTGGTATATACTCCTTGGCCTTGGATTAGATGGAATAGAGTTACCTGATACAGGTACTTGTTACAGGGTAGTATAATAGTACCTGTTAAAGAACTTGTCAGGTCCAGAAGTAGATGCTATAAATGTTAGATGCAATTCTGCATTATGCTTTACAAAGCTTGCTCCCTGAAGCAAGCTTTGTAAAGCATAATGCAGAATTGTCATAAGAGAACTAATATGGGGGCGCCTGGGTGGCTCAGTGGGTTAAGCCGCTGCCTTCGGCTCAGGTCGTGATCTCGGAGTCCTGGGATCGAGCCGCTCATCGGGCTCTCTGCTCAGCAGGGAGCCTGCTTCCTCCTCTCTCTCTGCCTGCCTCTCTGCCTGCTTGTGATCTCTCTATCAAATAAATAAATAAAATCTTAAAAAAAAAAAAAAGAGAACTAATATGTAAAACAAATAGGAGAAATTTATCCAATGCTTCATATTCTTATAAATTCAACCACTGATGTTTTTAGAATTTTTCTGTAGTACTTAGAAATTAACAAAAGTAATTGAAGCCAAATTATTTCAGAGATACTTTTAGACTTAAATTTTCTTTTTCATCAGCCATCAGTCAACATTTTGTTTTGAATAAACTATTTAGTGGCTAATTTCCTTTTCAAGACTGTAATGCTGTTTAACTTTTATGCAAAGAGTCTAAATAGTCCTTCAGACACTTTTGGCCTTTATTTATAGCCTCTCAGTGATACACTGCTTTTCATAGCTCACCATATGATCCTCACCTTTTTCTTTAGGAAGATGACAATAAATTTAGTACTTTAAGCCAGTGATTCTCACATTCACATCAGTATCACCTGGAGTACTTGCTAAACATACATTGCTGGACCCTGTCCTCAGAATTTCAGGTTCAACAGTTTCTGGAGTGGGGTTGAGAATGTGTGTGTCTAATGGGTTCTTGGGCTAATACTGCAGGTCCATGGTCCACACTGCCATAACATGAAAGATTGTTTGTATGTCTTGATCTGCTTAGTAGTTTTTTCCTTTTAAATCTAATCTAGCTCTGAAGATTAAACTAGCTTCTCCTGATTGGTAGTATGGGTATCTTGGATGTTTAAGAGTAAAACCATCCAAACCAAAATCTGCTCATTGTTTATTTGAAAAAACTATATGTATTCCAACTTCAATATTGTGAATTTATTTTTGGATAACCTCTAGTTAACTGTATTTTGGGGTTTATCTCTATTTCTATATAATTAATACTTCATGACACTATATATTTTTTAAACATTTTATTTATTTGTCAGAGAGGAGGGAGAGAACACAAGCAGGGGAATTGGCAGGTAGAGGGAAAAGCAGGCTCCCCGCTGAGCAAGGAGCTTGATGTGGGACTCCACCCCAGGACCCTGGGGTCCAGACCTGAGCTGAAGGCAGATGCTTAACCTACTGAGCCAGCCAGGCGCATCCCATGACAATATTTTTTATTAAGCCATAATTTTTAAGAATAAGCCAATAAGCTTTTTCTACCTTGAAAATTTTATGCTCTTTTCTGAAAGCCAGCAGTCTCTTTTGCCTCAAATTGTATTACCTTGTTTAAGAAAAATGTTGCTTGTCACCTTTTTTCCCTCCAGCATAATCTTCTTGAAAAAATTTTAAGTAAAAACTTAGGATCTGTATCCAGGCATGCATGGTTCTTAGCATCAAAACAAATAACTGGGCTGAGTATTAGGTAGATAAATGGATGGGTGGGTGGATGGATGGATGGATGGATAGATGAATGTCTTAGGCATCTTGGTATCCTAGGTATCTGCAACTTTTATTTTATAACAGGTTATTCTTCTGCCTGGAAACTGGTATTTCTTTAGATATCAATTGTAGGATGCACCTGAGATTTCAAATATGTTAAAATGTGAGAAATTATGTGACTTAGAATAGCAAATATGTAGTATTCGATGTAATTTTCTAAGTCTTATAATATGTACTTAGGAATTGAGTCTATGATGGAAAATTTTTTGTTTATATTTTCCTTTTAGATTGTCCAGTTTATTGTTACGTTGGTTCAGAATAACCAACTTGTGAGTTTAAAACGTAAAAGGTAAGTTTTTACTGTAAAACCCTTCATTTGACCTATTCATGAAAAACTAAACATGTTAATGTTTAACCATGAATGGCCTACATTTCCTGAGTATATGTCTGTTGTCCCAGATGAACAGTCCTTGCTAAATTATACTCTCAGCATTTCATGAGTAGTGTTACTTCTTTCTGCGGTCAGCCTGCTAATGTTTTTCAGAGACAAGGACAGCCTAAATGGTCACTTTACAGACACATACATAGTTAATAAGAAATCCATTTTTATTCACATTAGCAGTTTAATGTATCATTGGTAGGCTTCAGTGAGGGAAACTCTTAAAAGGTCGTCTATTGAAAAAAAATAAAAAATTTTTTACTTGATCTCATTGGTAAGGAATTTGAAAACCTGTATATTGACTGGCTTGTGATACCGAAAAATTTAGTAACTGCCATGTCATAACTAAAGCTTAAGAAGGATAGTGGACCAAAGAATAGTTGGAAGGAGAAAAAAAACTTATCTTGTAAGACTAAAATTTTAGCAAAGATTGGTTATGGTTACATTTTATGCTATGGCCTTAACTCTGCTTCCACAAACTAATTCTTATGATCTACTTACTTTGTGCTATGTAACTGTAGTTCATAAAGAGTGATATGGTTTGGTCAGCAATGAAATATATTCAGAGAGAGTAATTTATTTATTGTATTTAACAAAAATAGTACAAAAGAATGGAGAAATCAAAGTCCTAGACATAGTCATCCCTTAGTTTCTCTTCCTAAGATGTGACCATTTTTAAGAGCTTATTTTGTATCACCACCTGAAATCTTTTATTATTAAAGTGTTTATGTTCATGTGAGGGTAAAATATTAGAAGCAGTTTAAATTTCTGTTAAATTTATGTTTGCTTCACTGAATTTAATGTATATATCCTCATTTTCAGGCCTCTACTTCTCAACACTAATGGAGCCCAAAAGAAGAATCTGTTTCAGCATATAGTCAAAGAACCAGCTGATAATCACCATCATAAAGTAATTTTTTATTTAAATTCTGTTTTATATTTGTTATCTCAAACCAGATTTTATTACAACAGTATTTCATGCACTCACATTTGCAAAGGTCAGTGAATAATAATCTAAGTGCTCATCCTCCAGCTTTATCAAATCATGACATTTTTTTATTATTTGGTTTAGATTATTTTAAGAAATAAAGCATTATAAATACCATTTATTATATGATGATATGGGAACAAACCTGTTCCCTGATTTGTTTTTTGCCTCCTCTTCAGTCTCTCCTAGATAAATCTTGAATTAGTATTTATCATCCCAATGGTCCTTTTATATGCGTGAATTCATGAACAATATTTGGTATTACTTTGTATGTATTTAAACCTCATATAAATGATATTATTTTGCACATATCATTTTACATTGTGACTTTTTTTCACTTTGTTTGGCTTTTGAGATTTATTAAACAGATTTAGTTCATCTCAACTACTACCTGATAGCAGTTGAATATTATGATAATATAATTATGCATTTATTTATTGTTACTTTAGGTTGTTTCCAACTTTTATTATAAATTTCGTAGACTAGATTTTTTAGCAATTGCAAAACATTTTTGTTTACCTTTATTTTTGTCATGGGCTGTCTGGATAATTTGTCAAACTTAAACCCACTGGCAAATCAGTTCAGTCCAGAATATAGACTTCTTTTAATAGATGATTGTCATGGTTACATTCACATCTTAGAATTCTAAATACTGCTTCAGATTTGTTACTAAAGTACCAAGATTTTTTTTCTTGAGCAAATCAGAGTTAGCATCAGGTCTTACCACTGTTTCAAAGTAGCATACCTAACTATTGTGTTTTTAGGATTGAAGACTCTGTAAATGGATGAAGATTTCTTAATTTAACTGGATTTATTTATTTTTAAGTCTTTCACGTCTTTTGCCTCAGATTTATCTACTGTTGAGATTTATAGATTTATTCATTATAATAATGAGTTTAATTTGCTTTAGAGAATTGAATGTTTTTTTTTTGTTTTTGTTTTTGTTTTTTAGGTACCTATGATCTGAATAGATCTAGAGCTGAATAAAAAATAATTTTGCTAAAAATTCAGGCTGACTTTTAACTGTGAAAGTTTTTTTTCCTATTAAAGCATTTTAATAAGAAAGAATAAGGCATATGTCAAATAGAGTAGCTTGAGATAAAATAATCCTCATCAGCACAGTGGCCATCTAGTTATGCTTGAAATCCCTGGTGAAGTTTTAAGACTTTTTTTAAAAACCGTTTGGATATAAAAAATAGTTTAAAATGTGAGGATCTTTCTATAGACTTATTCTGAGGCATCCCACCTTCATGATTCCTTACAGTAAAAGAAATAGCTAAATAGAATGAAGTAACATAACCTCCTACCTTTGCAAATTGGTACAAATACCAATTAGTGTGTAAGTCCCATTAGGGCAGAGAACATAGCTAAATTGTTTCCTTAATATTTAGTAAATAATGGGTGCCCAGTTAGCACTTTTTAAATGGTGTATTGTTCGGTAGTCAATATAATTACAGTTTTGTTATTTTCTCCCTGATTTTTTTAGGTTCCACACAGTAGGACTGAAGGTTTAAAGGCAAGGGAGCGGATTTCAGATGACATCATTATTTATGATGTAACTGATGATAATGCAGATGAAGAAAATATCCCAGTTATTCCAGAAACTAATGAGGACGTTATAGCTGATCCTTCCAAGTAAGGAAATTACAAAGTAAAATTTGTGAAAATATTGGTTACTTTTGTTATCAAAGAGCTTAATTCAAAACAACTTTACTCTGATAAACTACTGTCAAACTCATATTTGGATTATTAAGCTGAAAATGCCAAATTATTTAACCAGATGTTCTCCTCTCAGCAAAAAGACTTCCAACAAAAAGTAATGAGAATTCAGATTTTTTTTTAATTTTGGAGTTAAACATCTTTAATTGATCCTTTGTCGTCTCACATCATATGATGAATCAATATTTGTGATTAAGCTTCTCCCCAACTTTGGGGAGAAAGTTTCCATGGAGAATGAATGGACAGAATGAATTTATTGAATGCATTTGAAAATGTAATTGGTTCTTTCTCATATTGCTGATCTAGCTGTAGCCAATACCCTGATATTGTCATTGTTGAGGATGACAATGAAGATGAGTATGCACCTGTCATTCAGAGTGGAGATCAGAATGAACCAGCCAGAGAATCACTAAGTTCAGGCAGTGATGGCACCAGTCCTCTTATGTCTAGTGCTGTCCAGCTAAATGGCTCATCTAGTCTGACCACAGAAGATCCTGTGACCATGATGGATTCCATTTTAAATGATAACATCAATCTTCTGGGAAAGTGAGTGTTCATATAGATGTTATCTGAATTTATTTGCTTTCTTTGTTTACTTCACATGTTCTATTCTCTTCGAATGATCTTCCTTTCAGATTATGAATCCATGTAATCTTTCTTTGTTTTTTGAGTTTTGCATATTTTTTTTGAGAAGGATTTAATCATGCTGAGAGAGTCTTGAGATTTTCTTGGCAATTCCTTAGATTTCTTTAATGAGGTACTTGTTTTGAATGTTCATAAATTGTGTGTGTATGCATATTTATGTTTTTATTAGGACTGTGGAATAACACAATTTCTATTAAGGTACTTTATAGCATAAGAAAACCAGAAATTAGCATTAATAAGTAATAAACATTTTATAATTTATAGTGTAGAGGAAAAAAGATAAATTCAGACTATTGTTGCAGAATCTTTTCTGTAAATAGTAAAGTTTTGTGTAAAGGCTGTGAGTTCTCAGTTAACCACATTTTCAGGAATCTCAAGTACTGAATAGGATCTCTTAAGATTAAGAATTTTATAATGTGATTTTAAATGTAAAAACAAGGAAACCTAATATTTGATATTTTTTTAAAATCTTTTTTCCTTAGGGTTGAGCTGTTGGATTATCTTGACAGCATTGATTGCAGCTTAGAGGACTTCCAAGCCATGCTGTCAGGAAGACAGTTTAGCATAGATCCAGATCTCCTGGTTGATGTAGGTACTTTGAATAATCTTTGCTGTGCTGGCAGTTTGTGTATTCACATATATTGTTTATAAGTCAGTACACCTTTTTTTGTATTCTCACTGTTTTTGCATTTTCTTTTTTTTAAATGAATGATTTTGTTTATCAGAAACAACGAGCAGATGGGTTTAGGACAGTGAAGGAGGGTGATCACTACCCGTTTCTGAATAGCAGCTCAGTTAATCCTCCTGTAACAACATATCAATTCTGTTCAACAGTACTTCTACTTCTTCTCTGGACTTGTTGCCATATTTGTTCTGCTCTAGAATAGATTGTCGCTGAATAGAAATGGGTGGAAATTTAGTAAGAGTTACTTAGGCAGGAAACTGCATGGAGACACTTTTTAATACTTCGGGTATTAATGTTTTCCACTCACATGAATTATATTTTAATATATTTGCTATATTTTTAAAATGTTTATGTCCTGAGTGCTAAGGTTACCTTGTTCCAGTCCCCACCACCACCTACATGAGTATCACTTCAATGTTGTCTGAACTGTGAATCCTTATCTACCATTTCTGGCACTAACTACCTTTCTTGCTGTCTTCCCTCTTGCTCCTACCACTCCTCTCTTCCTTATGGCTTGGTCCCATCCAGATGAATGGTCCCATCTAGATGAATATTGTTCTCTCCCTGATTTCCATTTTCTGTTGTAAATATGTTTCTGTATCCTGAAAAGGTTTGTTGCGCCATTTTTTTTTTTTTTTTTATTTCTGCCTTAAAATGCAGTCTGTCACATCAAAATATTCTGTAGTCTTGTCCTTTTAAGAACTTCTCAGTGGGGCTAGAGGGAATTAGTCCTTTCTTACTCTTCAGTCTTATTAATTTGCCACCTTACCAATCTGCTTCTTAATCTTTGTCAATATCCATGATTTTATTGTTCTTTCCAAATCATCATTATGTCACAGGATGAATTTCACTTTCTTTGAAGATTTCCTTTCTGACCTATGTTATCATCTTAAGGGAATTCGGCATCCATATTAATGACCTACTTTGTTAATAGTAATTTGTCAGCCCTTCTTGATTCTGTCAGTCTTTGTCCCCATCTTGAATACAGGGACCTTTTAGAATATCTGTTCCTTAGGTCATAAGAAGGAAACAAAATTCCATAATTCTGACCTTCTACAAAGCCTTGCAGTCTTCTAGGTTATTTTAATTTAACCTTGGAATGTTTATCATACTTGTCTGTCTTCAAGACCTCATCTCGCTAACTCGTCCCTTTTCTCACAGAGGATAATCACAATGCTCTGGTTCTCTCATAAGTTGGGAAATCTCATTTTTTTTTTCTTAGAGGAAGTGCTTACTTTCTCTTTAAAGCTTATTTGTACATCTGCCCTGTGCCTCTCAGTTTCTCTATCTCTGTCCTTGATCTTTCCCATCTTGCTTCAGTGGGTACAGATCTCTGCCTTAAACATTTTGATGTGTGGCTCTGCTCATTTACCATTTTGCCTCTCTAATTCTTTAACTACAAAACTTTAGAAATGAGTGGCTTTATATGTTACTTTTTTACTCTATATTTCTTTTGAAACCCTGCATTATCTTGCTTATTCACTTGAAGCCTGTGCTGCCTTGGTTTATCCATACTGAGTAGGCTCCAGGTTTGTTTGTTTGTTTGTTTGTTTGTTTTTTAAATCAGGCCATTGGGCTAGTAGGTGTGTTTTGAATCAGACAGATTTGGGTTTCATTTGGCTCATGTCACTTACTGGCTAGCTATTTAACCTTGGAAAAAGTTCACCTCTCTTGCCCAGTTTCCCCATTTGTTAATTGTGGCTGATGCCTAACTTGAAGGGCTCTTTTGGGTATTATAAATAATTAGTGCTATTATGATTAACACTGGTTATTTTTGACACTGAGACTTCTGTTGATTTTAGAGTCACTGGACTTCTTTGTTTTTTTTATCTGTCTTCCTAACTATTCTTTGTTTACTCTACTTTGTTTACTCTTTCTTTTTCTTATTGTTCTCTACCTGTGCGTAATCCCCCAGGTACCCATTATTTTATCTTTTTATTTGTTCTAAGTCTCTTCTTTTTCTATCCTTCCTTTGTGAAGGTATTTTGGCTTATCTCAAATTTATATCTCTAGCTCTTAATATTTTTTTGAAGTAAACTTTGGTTGAATTTTGATGCCATCATCAGTTAAGATCTTGCCTTAGATTTTTTGTGTTTAATGCCAAACTTTTCTTTGTTCTCTAAATGAGCTATGTTTCTCAGCTTTCTTATTTTCTGTAGTGATATCAGACTTCTCTTTACTCACCCAGAATAGTAATCACTGAGTCATTTTGGTTTCCTTATCTTTATCTCTTTGTTCAGGTCCTGTGTATTTTCAAAAATAGCACTCACAGATAATCCCTACTTTCTGATGCCTCTCTCATATAAGATCCTTCATTATTTCATACTTGAATTATGCTGACTGTAAAAATCACCCATTGGTTGCCTTGTTCTCTGAGATGGCAAAGATGGTAAGGACATGAATTGGTGTGCTGAGTTCATGGGTTCTATGCAGAGTTCAGTTCTTAGTGACTGTGTAGAGTCAGCAGGAGAGGCTTGGCTGTAGGATTCAACCATCTGTGTCAGCTCCTCATGTACGATCTGCTTTTTTCTGCTTCACACTCTGCATCTGCTGGGAATACACGAAAGTGTACCTGATTTAGTGGGTGGCATTGAGTGGGGCAAAGAAAGAGTGAGGAGCTTATACTCTACAGATGCCGCTCTCAGTAGGGACAAAATCTGGTCAGGTCTCAGAGGCAGTGACAAGCTGAACCTTGGCAGAGATTGGAGGTCATGTAAGCGATCTACTCTTAAGGATCTGATTCTCTTCCTTTACATGGATCAGTAGGTAGTATGAAAGGAAGGAAAGTTAACCAAAGAAAAGGAAGAACTAGGGATATTTTTAAGGCTATCATGAAGGTGGAACTTTTTTTTTTTTTAAATGGAACTTTAAGGAAGAGGAATCAATGTCTAGAGACTGTGGAGGAGGGATCTATCTGCATTTTGTTCTGTCCTGTGAACCATTTGGTGTGTTCATTCTCTTAAAATGCTTTAATCACTATATTTCCTTGCTCAGGCCTTTTCCAGGGCTCTTACTGCTGACAGAATGTGGCCTTATGCTGTGACGGGCCTTGCTTTACTTCTTGAACTTTACACATACAACGTACTATTCAGAAATTTTATGTTATTTGGACTGGTCATCTTATCTACTGCTAGAATTTACCCACCCCCACCCCCAACCATTCCTTCTTTATTATTGTTAATGTTATGATTTATTCTTCTCTCCACTCTCTACAAGTCCTAACCATTCTTCAGGGCCTAATATGTGTTGGATAGCTTCATCAAGACTTTGTTTCATCTTGTGCATGCCTGTGTGCATGTGTGTGTATGTACACACACACAGACATGCATGACTTTCTCCTTTCTCTCAGTACTTTAAATCTCCACCATCCATTAGTATTATAATATTGGATTGTATCTGATTATATGTTGTTATTTGATTTTGTTCTTGTCTTTTAGATTGTAAGCTCCTAGAGAGCAGGAATAGTGTCTTCATCTTGTATTCTTCATGATGTCAGTTGATGTCAGTTATTTTTTAGATGCTCAGTAAATCCTTGTGGAATGAACAGCTGAAGTTTATGACTTAAAAGTTATGTCTGTAAACTGGCTGGACTGAGAGGCATGCAGTAAGCAGTGGTCTTAGCATTTACGTCTTCTGTTGCTAGGTGAGGTGAAAAGAACCAGCAAGGAGGTATGCCATTTGGTCAGAGGGCTTCGTTTGAGGTGTAATTTAGAAGCCACCATCACAGAGCAGGTTCTATAAATTTCTTACATAATTAGCAGGTAGTCCGTGAAGGCTTACTGTCAGGGCAAGGAACTCAGCCCTGGATGCCACTTAAAACCAAAGGCATTTAGAGAGAAAATAATAAGGAAATGAGAAGTTGGGCAAACCACTATTTGTCTTAAGTGATTTGCCCCACTGTTTTATGGAGAAATTCTTAAAACATCTGATGCATGGGCTAGCTTGCTCTGCTTTTGTATGTTTTTCTTTCTGCTTTCCTGCTTTTCTCTTTCAAACTGTTTTACTGTATGAAAACTTCCTAGTGCAGGAGCTACATCTCTTTACCCAACATGGCTGTATAAAAATTTTGAACACGCAGTTAATTCTTTTTAAATATTTTTTAAACTTATCATCTTTCTTGTTTGGTCTTTCAGCTTTTCACTAGTTCTGTGCAGATGAATCCCACAGATTACATCAATAATACAAAAGTAAGTTTTAATTCATGTTGCTCAGGACCCATAGCTGTAAGAATCTGAAAAAAAGCCCTAGTAAGTAGAGAGCAGTATCACTCCCAATTACAAAAAACATTTTGTATTCTTACCTTATATGTGTGATCAAGACAGTAAAATTCTAGCTGAAAAAAAAGCTTTTGGTTATGGGGTGAGTCATTGCCCAATTTTGTAGGTACCTGTGTGATTAACAGTATGAAATGAGCCCTCAAAGTGCTGGGAAATCAACTGACTTAAACTTGGCATGTTCAGGTGTATCACAAACAAATTATTAAAATATTTTTTCATGTTTTATGTGCTTTAGCTTACATTCTTATTCTTTCTATAAACAATGTCTCAGCATTTTTTATTGAAAATCCACTGGTACCCATATTCTTAAATAGTTCCTTCATTTTATTAGCATGCAGTAAAAGCTCAGGGATTTGAATTAATGTTTTACTAACTGTAGGTACAGCAGGTTGAAACAATGAAGTATGGATTTTGGACAGTTTTTTTCCTCTTTTTTTTTGAAGTAATGCTTTTGTTATTTTGTTAGTCCATTTGGTATTAGCAAATGTTGAAATTCTTTAGAACTGGTTTTTAATGAGTAATAAGGACAATTTGCAGTTGTTAAGAGCAAATGATTAGAGTCATTCTGTTACTTTGTATATTGCTTAGATAATAGGCAGATTTTTAAATGTTTTTAAAATAGATTAGGTGTATACTCCGTTTATCTTACATTTATATCATACTCTTCAGTCCCATTTTTTTATCGAATGCAAAGGTGTAAATCAAGTCCTCTGATATTTGTACAGGTTCTAGATTAGTGAACTTAAAGTTTTACTTGTTTTTTTTTGTTCTTTGTTATCTAAAAATGATACTTAGATATAAGTAATTAGAGTGAGAGGGTAGAATTTTTCTAATGTCATGACCAGTTCTTTCACATACTCAAAGCTACAGGCTATGTAACTCAGAGTTGAAAGAATTTGTGAATTTTTGAACTAATAAGTTGATTATACATTGAATATTTGGATAATTTTTATCAGGGATTAGCATACTTTTTATAAAAAGGCCAGTTGGTAGATACTTCATTTTGTAGGCCATATGTTCTCTGTCACAACTACTTAACACTAATTGTAGTGCGACAGCAGCCATAGACAATACATAAAAGAATGAGTGTGGCTGTGCTTCCATAAAACTTTATTTACAAAAACAGGCAGCATGCTTAATTTGGCATGTGGACCACAGTTTGCCTGGATTTATATTTTAAGTTTCTGCGGATTACCTCAACACCCTGGGTTTCAGTAAATATGGTATTATTAAATATTAGGTCTTAAGGTGAATGAACCCATATCATGCATTCATTTAGTCGATGTGCTGAACTGTTTGTTCATATAGACGCTATACATTGAGTCATTCTTTATTCTTGGATTATCCTCTTTATCGCAAAACCAGTAGCTTAATTACAGTTCTTAGGAATAGCAGTTAAACAGCAAATTGCATATTGTTCTAAAGTGCTATAGAGAAATTAGAGAATGACTTTTCATTATAGTTCTAAAATCTAGATTAATGTTTTCAAATAATTGGCACATCAGCTGTCATTCCCTTGCTCATGACGAGTATTGTATTAACATAGATCACAACACTCTTTTTCTAATATATCAGGATACTTATACGCCTCAGTAGAGCCATCTAAGTGGCCATTACTAACAAATAAGAATTTGCATGGGAGATGAATTCCCTTTGTCATCCTGGTTCTCATATGTTTTAAAATAACTGGCATCCTTGAAAACTACCCATTTTAAAAAGTAAAAAAATAATGATGGTATTCTTGCCTTAATGTTTGTTTATTGCGATTGCTAAATCCGAAACATTTTTATGTACATTTTTGGAAAGTTTTAATTTATTATATCTTGAGGTCATTATTTCTGAATCTGGAAACTTGTACTGCATCATTTTATGATGATTATCGGCAATTTTAGGAATTAGTATGTTTTCTACACCGTATATACTTAGTGAGCATGCAGGTGTCTGGGACTTAACAGCTATTTAGGGAAAATTGTGAACGTCAGCCCCTCAGTTTGAACATCGTTGAAAAGAGCACCGAAGAACTAAACAACATTAAAGGTTTAATCCCCTTTACAATCAGATGTGAGGAGAGAAGACAGTGGTTGAAAGAAGCAATTTAAGTGACAGAAAAGAACTGAAAGAATCTCAGAAGGAGAATGAAGAAACTTCACCTCAACTTTGAGGCTTCCAAATACAAAAATAATAGTTTTAAGGATATCACCATGTCATCCTGAGCTACTCTAAATATCTTCACTTATGCTAAATATTCTGTTTGTAAGTGAAATGAGTAATACACATTTTTAATCAAAACTGTTTGAGTTTAATTTTCCTAAAGAATTATCTCTTAGTTTGAAACCAGCCATCTTTGATTCGTTCCCATCTTTTACCTCTGACAAATTCTGTCTGTTCTTTTTGAAATGCCCCCTCTTTCCATACTTAACTGTCATCCTAGTTCAGATTCTTTGTTTCATCCACTTGATGACAGCAATAATTTTCTTAACCAGTCTTAACCAGTCTTACCTATTCAGATCTCTTTCTCTCTCTAGTTCTTCTTTCCTGGTGTTCCCTTTTCCCCTGTATTTCAGATAATACACCAATATTCACCTACCGTACCAGCTTTTTAAAAATTTTTTGCTATTTTTAGGAATGTATAAAATGTGAAACAAGTATTTTTTATATTATTTTTTCTCTTTTAGTCTGAGAATAAAGGATTAGAAACTACCAAGAACAATGTAGTTCAGCCAGTTTCAGAAGAGGGGAGAAAATCTAAACCCAAAACAGGTAGGTATAAATGTAGTATTAGTTTTTACAGATTTTTAAAATTAAGAGTCATACATAGAAACTAATGTGAGCCAAGGAAAGTCTTTGCCATACTTAGCAGTTGAACACAGAATGTACTGTTCTCAGTTCTATGCATAATGTATCAAGGTTTCAGCTTATAGAAAAAATTAAATTGGTGAGGTACTAGTTCTTTAAGTCATTTTTTTTTTTTAATTTAACTGTAGGAGAACTGAAAGAACTCTCTTAATTGTTGAATGAAAGACTTTTCTGACTAGTACATTTAAAAATTTACTGACACGAAGTATCATATTTCTTGTTTGGGTGTATAAGGGTAGTGATTGCATATATGCACAGCTGTTTCCATTTTTTCCACCTTCAGCTTGAACTCTGTATAAGCTGGTGATAAAAGAGCATTTTTCTAATCTTTATTATAGATAAGCAGCTTATCCAGTACACTGCCTTTCCACTTCTTGCATTCCTCGATGGGAACCCTGCTTCTACTGTTGAACAGGGGAGTACAGCATCATCAGAAGTTATGTCCTCAGTAGATAAACCCATAGAAGTTGATGAGCTTCTGGATAGCAGCCTAGATCCAGAGCCAACCCAGAGTAAGCTTGTTCGCCTGGAGCCATTGACTGAAGCCGAAGCTAGTGAAGCCACACTGTTTTATTTATGTGAACTTGCTCCTGCACCTCTGGATAGTGATATGCCACTTTTAGATAGCTAAATCCCCAGGAAGTGGACTCTACATGTATATATTCATCAAAATGATGAACTATTTATTTTAAAGTATCATTTGGTACTTTTTTTTGTAAATTGCTTTGTTTTGTTTAATCAGATACTGTGGAATCAAAAGCACCTTTTGCTTTTCTCACTTACACACTCTGGCAGAGCTTTCAGATGTTACTCAGCTACATAGGTACACAAGATTTAATGCACATTGTTGACATATCTTTAAGTTGGATTCAAATGGCCATTTTTCTCCAGTTGTAGTAACTTGGATTTCTTTTTTTACGTATATGCCCATTAACCCCAGTTAAACTTTTGTTTGTTTTACTTGTTTGATGCTGTCTGTTTGCATTGAGTGTAAGTCACTAGAACTAATGGTAGAACTCTTAAACCTTTGTCTGTTCCAGTTACTTTTATTAAATATTTTTCACTTGGCTTATTTTTAAACTGGGAACATAAAGTGCCTGTATCTTGTAAAACTTCATTTGTCTCTCTTGTTCAGAGAAGTTCATTCATGTTCAAAGGAAAGGCAAAGTAAACATGAGTGCTTGCTGTCAGAAATGGCTCCAGCTCCATATATATAAAAAGAAGGGAGATGGGATGGCATCAACCCCATCCATCTCATTGGACTAGTTTTAAGTAAAAGTTTTCTGATTTGTTTGTGTTTTTTTTGAACCATACTATTTAGTAAAATAAATATAATGAATGTTGCGTACTAATGTCTGTTACGTGTCTTCTTTAGAGGTGACACCCACATGTAAAATTTTTTCCTTTTTATAGGAAGTAGATTTATATTGTAAACTGTCTGTTGTCCATTATTGATTCACACCAAGATCTTTGTGCCTCATCTCAAGAGTTAGACTGTGTATTACAACAAGGAAGGAATATAAGGTCTCTAAACTTAATGTGTTTTAAAGTTCTTCTGTGTTAAAAATTATACTGGCTTGCTTCCTATATTTCTAATAAAGAACTAAGAGAAGTATGCCTCTCATTGTCCCACATGAGGTAAGAACATTATCACTGGATGCCACCCAAAGGCCTGTAATTTTTGTTCCTAGAGATGGAACAGTAACACTTTATCCCTTTGGAACAGGCTTATAGAGCTTAATACAAGGCGGGCACCACTTTTATCAAGTTGAATTCTACCTTCAGGCAGAGCCTGGAAGCAGAGCAGTTTATATCTGAATATTTTATAGGGCTCTTTAATGAAGAATTACAAATATGGCCCTCCTCGTGGCCATATTCTGTCAATATCCTGGAATTTCTATTATGATGTAAAAATTCAAAATAAAGCCTAGCACAGAGAGATAGGAACCCTTCCTTAGCAGATATTTAAACATTTGGCTCTGATAGTGGCATCCTGGTGAACTAATTCAAGTCCCCAGAAGTTAGTTTCTACATAAGCTGTAGAGGTCACTGTCTTAGAGGTTGTTAAAGTGAAAACAAGAATTTAGAGCCTGAGAGACAGAACTTAAGAGACTTTTCTTTTTCCCTTCTCTTCTTCAGTGTGGAATATGATTAAGTTTCTTCTCTTGGGGACATTTTGGAGCTTTAGAAATATTCTAAAAATCTTGAAAAATATGTTCCAGTACTTTTTTGAGTTGAAATTAAAATTTTTCACCTTTAGTTGGAAGGAATTTAGGGTATTGATAATACTACCATTTAAAAATATAACTTACAGTTTAAAAAGTTATGTGCTTTTTAAAATATATCTAAAGGAATCTAAATACCGTACTGATTTGATAACCATCATCATCCATTCCACTTCTCCCAAAGAATTTTATCCTACTTTTATTATGTGTGAAAGTCCTACACTGAAGATAGTGTCATTCTTCTCTGCAACTAAATTTGAAATTGTTTCCTATAGCCTTAAGATTCTAAGCATTATAAAGAAATGTGTCCAGTTATACACAGTTCATCAAAACAGTATAATTATCCAAACCATTTTCTCTATCATGGAGTTAGATTATTTCTACTTCATAAATAGGGTGGCTGTGTAACTGAATTCTGATAAATAAATCAGAAGTGATGTACAGAACTTCCAGGTCTGGTTTGTGAAAACCTCCCCTCTGCAATCCTCCTTGCTCTTTTACCCCTCCACTAGCCTGATGCAGAGGAGTATATGGCTTCTGAGTATACATTCAAGAAGGAAGAAATTTGGCTTCCTGAATCACTGCTTAGAAGAGAGCCACCCATCAATCTTGGACACCTATTGTAGACTTCAGGTGAGTGGAGAACAAACTATTATGTTCTGCCTTTGGATTTTTTTTGGGGGGGGGTTGATCTCAGTGTTCACTAATACTCAAATTTTGGCAAACATTAAATAGTAAAATTATATGAGAAGTAACATTTTTAGTGGCGTGAACAGGTCTTGATTGGGGGGAAGGAGTACTTCCCCAATTTTTTTGTATCTGAAGCTGAAGATTATCAGTGTAAGAGCTATCAGTTTCATTCCTTTTTGTATTTGTAAGTGTACAACTCTTAAAAACTTTGTAATACAAAAAAGTATATGATGGAAGGAATTTGGTATAGCACTATCAGTCCTTTTAACTCCTTCATAACTATATACTAGAACTGTTGTATTTTTTAATGAGTTACCCACTGGTGACTTAATTAGATCATCTTTCAATTTCATCAACAGCAAAAAAAAAAAAACCCCAGAAACTACCTGAATTGCAAAAGGATTCTGCCCCCACTGTCATTCTTTCTCACCAGTATTTAAAATTTTGTCTTTATTGGGTGTTTGAGATTTTATCCAGTGCCTTAGTAATGCCTTAGGATTCAGAATGCCTAAGAGATACATCTTCGTTAAATGTGGAAAGTGATTGTTAAAGAGGGATGATGCCCTGATGTTCTTAAGGCATCTTTTCAGGCAGATCCAAGTTCAGGAAGGAGTAATAAGGAAATTGAAGATCTGGACACTGATCTCTAATACCTCTTGCTTACCAGAGGAAGTCTCTGTACTGTCTGGAAAACAAGTACCACAGTATGAAGACCATTAATTTCAAGAGTGCCCCCATCTTCATCCTCTTTATAACCTTCTTTCATTTAAGTGGGGGTGGTTGTAATTATCGGCATCAGAAATCATGTAGAACAGAGCTGAATGTTCTTTCAGAGTGTCACCTTGTTTTTCATAGGGATGGTATACTCAAGTGATGAGGCTTAAATTGACAATAGTCTGCAGACTGGGAAGACGATAAAATGATATTGTGATGAACATATATAGAATGTTACATTTAAGAATTAGAGCCTAAATGTTCATTTCAAGCACACATGAAATATTTTTTGAGAATTGGTTGCATATTAGGCCATAAAGCAAATCAGAAAATTTCATGGAATTGGTATCAAACAGACGAACTACAATACAAATAAATCAGACCTTTACAGTTATAAGGAGTATTGGCATGGTATTTTGTGGAGTGACCTTCATTTGGGTTTACTGTTTTTCCCATGATTACAGGAGTTAATGGGTTTGGGGTAGAAAGACCACAGGGGTGAAGTGCCGTTTTCACCATTTATCGAAGTATCTTACTATTTTTTTTCTCTGGAGAACCCTGATACACTTAAAAAAAAAAGGAACAAAAAGCTCTCTTTATCTTACATCTTAGAACATAGAAAATCAAGGGTGTAAGAATGGAGAATCTGCCAGTAAATGGGGATGCTTTCAGAGCTGTTACATGGCAGTACTAAAAGTGTGTTGGGCTGGCCAAGTAGTGACAAGTTGAAAAACATGTTAGGTCTTTTAAAAATTGATAAATTGAAGCTAATCAAAACTAAGCACTTTTGCTCTGCAAAAGACCCTGTTCAGATGGAAGAACAAAGATACAGACTAGGAGAAAATATTTGTAAACTACTACCTGATAAAGGATGTTTATCTAGAATATATTAGCTCAAAACTCAACAAATTAGAACAATAAACCATCTAATTACAAAATTGCCAAAAGGCATGAATAGACATTTTACTGAGGACCTATAAATGGCAAATAAGCATATGAAGAGATAACATCATTAGCAATTTGGGAAAGGCAAATTAAAACTACACTGAGATAACACAGTATTTCTATCAGAATGGCTAAAATTAGTGATACCAAATGTGGGCAAGGATGCAAAGAAACTGAACGGTTCATGAATCAATGGTGTGAACACTTCAGAAGATGGCAGTTTCTTATAGAACTAATCATTTAACCTGCCCTCAAGGATTCTTCTAATTACTGGTTCCAAAGAACCACTGATCTTTATTTATTTCATCATTGAAGGAATATTATAGGGGCGCCTGGGTGGCTCAGTGGGTTAAAGCCTCTGCTTTCGGCTCAGGTCATGATCCCAGCGTCCTGGGATCGAGCCCCCGCATCGGGCTCTCTGCTCAGCGGGGAGTCTGCTTCCCTCTCTCATTCTCTGCCTGCCTCTCTGCCTACTTGTGATCTGTCAAATAAATAAAATCTTAAAAAAAAAAAAATATTACAAATGAAATGATACTCTATGTAATCTTTTGGGATTGGCTTTTTAATACAGTAGCATACTTCCTTGGAGATCCAGTCAAGTTGTTTTGTGTACCAAGAGTTCATTCCTCTTTTATTGTTTAGTAGGTTCATGGCATAGATGTATGACTGTGTGTTTAAACATTTCATTTAAACACAGTTGAAGGACTTTTGGTTTGTTTCCGGTTTGGGCTACTGCAAATAAAGCAATGAACATTCTTGTATAGATTTTGTGTGAACATTAAGATTTTTCTGAGTAAAATGCCCAAGACTTTATAGACACTATCCTGCCTATAATATTGGAGAAATCATGCCATTTTAAATGAATTACTGAATAAAATATACCAAGCCTTAGTAACATATATGGAATAGAGTACTTCATTTCTATTTGTTGTTGTTAAGGAACTTTTTTATATCCTCTTGTGTCAGAAAGCATCCATTTGCAACTTAGGAAAAAATGCCTATGGGACGCAGGTTAAAAATATTCTCCAAATTAAACTGGCCCATCTACTAAAGGTTCTTTAGGAGAACATGACTTTAATTACCTGAGATCCAATTTCATGGGTTAATTACAGAAGACCAAAAGGATGAAACTACCACCTTTAAAATAATTCAGGTTTTCAGCAAATAAAATGGACAGTAAACCCTGTTTCGGGTTCCTTTATACAGAAGAGAAAAAGTAGGTCTGAGTATTATAGTGACCTAAATTTGAGTTGCTAAAGAATTAGTACACCACACACTTTCTCTGAATTCATTTATTTAGAGAGAGAACACAGCCATTCAAAATGATGGAACACAATATCAACACACAGAATAAAGTTGGGGAATTAAGTTGAATTGTTATCTTTCATTTACAGTAATAAATACCTTAAAAGAAGCAAATGTAGATTTTAAGATTATGACACTAGTAACATACACAAGTTAACTAAGTTTCTAAGTTAACTGTTATACTGCCTGATTTTCAGGTTGAAAGACTATAATAAACTATATATTTCAATTAAATGGCAGCAAATACAAAAGCATTTTAAACATCTTCTGAACCTATTGTATAGTATACTATAAGCAGTTTATATTCTATAGCATTCCATCATTCTCCTGGCCTCGGTTTATGGGTAGAAGGCAAGCTGGACACCAGCAAATCACATAACGAATTAACCACCACTAATGAGGTGTGTAATCTATTATGCATGTATTTTGAATAGAAGTTGTTTTTCAATGCCAAAGAAATGCCAGCTGT